CATCCAATTATCACATGATCCCTGAAACTGAAATACTCATTAGGCAAAATAAATTATTTCAGAACTAAAATGATTGTCAGGTATAAAGACGGGATAAATAAATGATGGGTCTATTTATCAAATTGTGATCTGTAACAGAGAAATCTATTCACCATACATGTGTCACGGTGAAAAAACTATTAATAATTTCCCTAGAGACCAGTCTGAATTAAGCAGGTTCACAAGGCAAGATGCCTTATGAAGTAGATGTAGCATGCATACAATGTTTCAATACAACAGTGATACCCTAATATAGCAAATAAATCTAAATGAGAAAAATGAGAATAACATACCACAGAAAAAAAGGGGAATCAGCATGAAATCTAAAATGCCTCTATCTTGTATAAGTCATCTTATGACCAGTATAGTAAATCACACAATTTGATAGTACAACGTTGTTAGTACATATCTGAACAGATAGGCAGCTCTATGGTTTATAAATGTCTTTAACACAACAATAAAAGCATTTTGCAAAATATTAATACTTTTCATTCTTAAAAAATGATACTCAAAAAACTGATGTTACATTCTTGAAAAATTGAGCTCAAAATAATCACCTGAAACAATGAGAGGATTACAACAAATCTGTGTTACATACATACAGGTGGTGAGTTACTGGGTTATACAACAAATTCCCATCAAACAGGACACTGAATGAGAAGCTTGATGTGGTTTAGTGGTTTCTAAAAATACATTTTATTACATGTAGTAAATTTTGGAATTAAGATTACATCAAAAACCTTTTTGCTACAGATAAAGTGACAATTTCTTTGCATTGAGTCTAAAGAAAATTAACAAATACAAAACAAAAGAAAAAAGAAAAAAAGATAAAAAATTATTGAATTCGCAGACATTTTTTTCTGAACAAATGTATCACCAACACAACACAAACAATTATATAAACACTGTAGTTATTTTAAAGGTGTGAGTTGCAGTAAGGAAAGTTGGCCAATAGGAGCACGAGTATTGAGCAATATGATATAAACAGAATACTTACATAAACAACAACTTCTGCAATGTCTGATTTATATGTTGAGAACTAAAATAGCAATATCACATATACACAGTATACATTCGTGTTACATTACACATTAAGGATGAGATTGTAAGATACCATAATGGCAGATTATATCTTTTAACGTTGTCTGAAAAACAAAATTGTAATTTTCTCAACTTTGGTGAAATTTGAATCAGAGTTATACGAATATGACATTCATTTATGGTCTGATTAATAAAAATTTGATGTTCTTGTGAGGATCTTGGCAACAAGCTTGCCTGTGCCATATTTCAATAATGTACTATGTAAAGACCAGAGTATAGTATGACAACCTAAATCAAGAATTTCATTAAAATCACATTTCAGAGCTTGTTTTTTTATCAAAAGCCAAAAACATATGATTAAATTTTGCTAGGTACATCTCTGGTTTTCTATTGAAAGACAAAAAATATTTCATTACATTTTGTCAAGTAGATTTTTTATCGACAGAACAAGCACACTAGATTGTATTTTGTCACGTAAATCTCTGTTTTTTTAATTAGATTCTTATTTCATCAGGTACATCTGTGGTTTTGATATTTTGTCAGGTATAACTTATTGATGATGATTTGGCTAATTACAGTAGGCACGATAATACTGTTGTACTTAATCTATTATCACATACAAAACATAACATAACATAGCATTCGAGCACCATATAAATTGTGAAGACAGCATTTCAAAATAATCTCAAACTCGCATAAAAGTGATTCAAAATATTGTATAATCTAAGATGTATTTTAAAGCCATTTCAGGCCATCTCTAACGTCAGCTAGCTAAACTCTTAAAGCATTTATGATGTCATCCTTTTTATTGGGGATCTTTTTCAGCTTAACACAATACGTTCTTACTCTCTGACAAATATCCTTAAAATTTCAAATTGTATTTAAGACAAATCATCCCAAACAACTAGAAATGAATAAATGTAATTCAAAATCTTAAAATAAGTTATAACACATGATAAAAATTTAATCTGAAAAAATATTTACAAAGCATACATTATAAAATACGAATTGCATTGAACTGAACTTTCTCTATTGTGAAAACAAGAATATCATATTCAGCATACATGTTTGTATCTACGATATACGCCGAGTGTTGTACATTGTACCTCTGTAATACATTTACTGTGTATATCCAGAGACGTATATATACGTCTCTGGTATATCTAACATGAAGTTAACTATAGCATGATTTCCTTTATATCTATATACACGGCAAAGCTTGACAGGTTTCTTTTGATGATACAAAATCAGGAGTCCTTTAACCATCATTTGGAATTGAATTTAATTTTACACATAAATGTCTAACCCTTTTCAATAACACTGTGACAAAGATACTGCTAAATAAGAAAGCAAACTTCTACAAATCTACTTCTAACACAAAAAAATCAAACTGTTCGATACCATATTTATCTCCCCTGATGAAATCACTTCTTTTGGTTAAAACTGTCGTTTACATGAGAGTCAAATTCAATATAAACATGTAATGTAATTGCAGTATTATATTTTTTTGGTGTATCAAGCCTTTTCACTTAAGTATTATGATATTATTATGAAACAAGAGAAAGAAGATTTTAAATATGATCTTAATTGTACCATGGTTTGGTCTAAATAAATGAATCAGTACTGAGGAAAACAGTTAACAATCATGTTTGATTACAGTGATTTTCTTGATCCAATATTTCAACTACAAACAAACACATATAAGTTACAAAAAAAAATTTAAACTAGTAACATTGACTAGATGTTTAAATACAAGCTTTCGAAAATTTGAATAATTGTTATTAACATTCTTTAAAATTAGTATCAACATTTGAATTTTCTAAAATTCAACCTAGTTTAATATCCACGAAAACATGAGATATAGTGTACTGATTATCAATTTAGCATCCAGAAATGAGGACAGAAAATAAAGCCTCTAAAATTGATGGCTGTTAGCACATTGATTTTGTGTAAGCTGAATTTTCTTTCTAATGAGCATAAGCCATTGGTAAAATTGAACACAACAATGAGAACATAGTTATAAAAGAGTAAGAATAGTTTGAAATAGATTAAAATGAAACAGGTGTATGACTAAGAGAGTTATGTATAATATATTCCAAAATAAAATTACATTTCTACTACCTTAGAACCTACAAGACATATATAGACAGAATCTAACCAGTACATGATATTATATAACAGTAAACAATATTGTTGCTGCATTTGTCTTTGTTTAAAGATAAAATCTGTATATACATTATCTGGAATTTAAGGTACTTGCATTGTATAAGTTCATAAGGATTAACATCATTAGAAAACATTAATATATGATTACTGATTCAGTATTGCTTGGATTTGTCAATTAACTGCATTAGAAATACTTATGTTGGAAAGGCATTTTTGTTGTAAACTTCTGTCCTAGATGATGAGACATTTAATTAACATTTATATATTTAGGAATTCAACAATGGGATGCAATAATTCTCTCAACATTGCATTATATTTTATTTGACATAAGAAATTGTACCTGTAAGTACACTAAGTTTGTACCTGTAAGTACACTAAGTTTGTACCTGTAAATACACTAAGTTTGTACCTGTAAGTACACTAAGTTTGTACCTATAAGTACACTAAGTTTGTACCTGTAAGTACACTAAGTTTGTACCTATAAGTACACTAAGTTTGTACCTATAAGTACACCAAGTTTGTACCTGTAAGTACACTAAGTTTGTACCTGTAAATACACTAAGTTTGTACCTGTAAGTACACTAAGTTTGTACCTGTAAGTACATTAAGTTTGTACCTTGTAAGTACACGAAGTTCTATTCCTTTGTATCCTGTTTTACTTACATTAGATAACTAATCCTTCCCAATTACTTCCTAACACTTTAAATCGAAAAAAAAAGAGAGAAAAAAAAACAAAACAAATAAAACCAATAAAAACCACATACAATGTACTAAAATAACTTATACAGGCTTCTTAAATTAATGAACAAGTGGAACAGTAACAATAAAATCACACTATTATCATTAATTCTACATTTGGAAATTGCATTGTTTTGAAGTTTCCTAGAATGGAAACGATGATTAGAATGGGCAGAATCAGAATACAAAATGGATATTCTGAAAGAAATTAAAACAGAAATTTTTTATCATTACTTGTAAATTTAGGTAATGAATATTTTTTAGAATAGAGACAACAAAAGAAATCTATGCCCCATGCTGTAAGCTTTTCTACTGTAATACAATACAACAGCATATGAGGACAAATGAAATGACCTTGATTTTAAGATTAAACTCATCAGTTGTATTTTGTAAGTTGACATTAATCATGAAACATGTAACATTTCATAAACTAATGGTAAAAAAACACTAATATATAATGAGAGTATAAGGATCTGCTTGAGATAACATTTGCTACGTACTAACACACACCATTAATATATTGTGTATTTGATAAGCATCCTAATTGATAAATGGAATGTCCTACACAATGTGTAGGTATATTATATACACAAGTCTTGTATATTCACACGAGGCAATGATTTTATTTCCAGGAAAAAAGTCACTTTGATGCTTATCCTTCTAAGTGACGTAAAGTGAAAACACAGTGTGGCACATTTTCATCACAAATATTTGTGTTGCATTCCAACCTGCTCCCCCTACCCCTATCTTTTACAACCAGCATGTGGTGATCTGACAAATGTATCATCTTCATGTGATACCTTAAAATAATGAACACATGTAATACACAGGTGGTGAGCTTATGTAACATCATTTCTACTTAACCAACAGCTGGATTTAGGCCTATCCATGGGAAGCAGATACAGAGTAACATTTAAGCCTCCAGTCTTCCTTCCCTGTGTTTGCCCTGAGCATGTGTACTTTTCTTGTTTCCATACAGCTAACAGTTCGTAACCATTGAGTTTGGAAAAAACACCTCACTTCCTGATGGTAGCTCCTGACGAGGCTTGTCGGGCTAACATTATGGCAGGACGTAGATACTGGCGAAGGTACTCTATACTAAGAGGCTGTTTAGACACCATCTCCTCTATTGGCTGTTTCTCTACCATCATTCTGGATCCACTGAAGTCCATCTGTGATAAATGAGAACACAGCAACATAAGAACACTTCTATCTCAAACATGTACTTGGCCAAAGGTCTTAGACATATCAACAAAACTTGAAATCTAACAAATGATGTTTTTCCACACGCTTTGAAATTAACTAAATCTACAGGAATATGTTTTCCAAAATGTCTTACAGAAGTCAGTAAGATTTGGTACATCATCTTTGTTTAGTGTTAAGTGTAAGCCACAATATACCTGTATTAAGCAGAAACTTACCTGCATCACATATGTTGCCATAGAGTACATCTTGTTGTCTCTAGTAACAGGCTCTATGATCCAACCACTAGGAAGCATCTGTAAAACGTTAGTATCAGCATTAGTCAAGTTTGTAATTAAAAGTGTCGTCCAGGTGCCAACTCATACCTCCCCCTTGTTGCCAACAGAATTCCTCAAAGGGCATAACTTTTCGAAGGGGAGGTAGTCAACCTGATATATTTAATGTACATCTACATTATATAAGGATTATAACCAGCAAATATATCCTTGAAATTAATTCAGTAGTTTAGGAGGAGTTGCCAATATATTTTTGAGTCTACAGATGGACGGACAACCTGATTCCAGTATACATTCCCTTTCAACCTTGTTGCAGGGGGTATAATTACATCTATGACAAAGGTGTCTTAAGAAATACAACAGCTGAAAGGAACATGTTCATGGTTTTGTAGGTGTAGTGTTACTATAAAAGTCATTAAGGACTTTCTGTATCCATTGGCACCAGATTTTTACTTACCTGGACTCTCTCTGTACCATTTGGCACTGGCAGGCCATTGTCTACAGACTGCATGGCTAACACATATTTCTCTCCATCCATCCTCTCATTTTGGAGGACACAGAAATCAAAACACTCTTTTTTAAACATGTAGACAAGCTCATGGTAAAAATAAACTACAACAGAAATATAGCAGAAATTGAAATTCACTGTAAAAGAATGTTTAATTAGTGGATGCCGGTCAAATTTTCCATCCATACAAACATTCAAACAGCAAAGATTTTCATCATGTACCAGGTAGAGCTATGCTTAATATAATACATTCAAGTTTTACCTACCATTACATTATTCCAATATACATTGAAAATCAAGATTTAAAGTGACCTGTCCTTATATTTTCAACAGAAAAGAAACATGCTAGAAACAATGAAGATAAGCTTACCTATTTTGGCCTTATCTGCAATACTACTCAGGACATCAACTTTCTGAAAATACCAGAACGAGAAAATCTGAATACACATTTGTAAATTGTATTCAAACTTCCTTGCAAAGTGTGAAATGTCTTTAAATCAAATCATACCCTTATATTGTTACAGGAAGGAGTGATGAAAAACACCCTGTCCCTGGCAGGGTTTGAACTAGTGATCTTTCAGTTTATAGCCTAAAGGGAAATTCCCACTAGCCAATGCTGGTAATGCATTCTGTACTATCAACTCCTAGAATATAAGTGCATTTCAGAGCTAAAGAAATAAACAACTTCTTATTGTACAAAGATTTACAATAACTTAAAAATACAAGAATACATAGCTTCTCTAATTCCTTTGCCTGACAATTGGTTTCCATACCTTTAAACTTTCATCATAGGTGAATCGTGTCCTAGGATTCTTGATGGCTTCAAACACTCTCTGTGGTGAGGCACTGATTAGGCCTTTACCGACAAAACTGTGGACACAATCAATACACAGACATGACTGTATAATGTTACAGAAATACAAATAATGAAAAATTTGAATGTTATTCTCAGAAGGTAAGATAAAGACTGTAACACATAAATAATAGAATCTATAGGTGGAAAGAAGAGTGATGGTATCACCAATTCTATTTAATCCACAGCTGAGACAGTAATCAACTTCACAAAATAATACTCTATTCAATCTGAAAATAATTCTGTTTCCATGATAAAATGTTTCATATCGATACTTTGATACTCTGTTTTGAAGATTTTCTGGTTTAAATGTTGAATACTCCGAGAAAGGTACACATGTAGATATATGTCTTCACAGTCAATGTTAATTGGCTTTGTGGTGTGTAGATTTCAAGGCTTCAGAAACAAGTAGTGTATATAAAGCTTCCCCAGTATCTAAGACCACAAATATAATAAGAACTGAAACACACTGTAAGAGCCTACTTTATTTGCAGGAAACATGTGCTACATTTCTGTACTACATTTCACAACAGGCATACCTGGCATTGAATATCATTGCCTGAAGGTAATGTCATTTTACAAATATTTCTTGAATGAAGATTTTTGATAAACTTTTCAACTAACCTGAAGAGAGAATTAGAACGATTTAGAATCTTCTTGAATATCACCACATCTGTCTCCAGTCCCCAAAACCTGAAATACAAATTAGTACAATGTATATATACATATATGTATAAAGTGAGCTAATCAAACAATTGAATTGAAAAGAAGGAAAACTTCTTACAGTTCTTATAGAAGATCATTCTTTATATATTGTATAATAATTACATTTCACACAAGAGGACTAATGGGCCTGCATCTCTCACCAGATATTCAATACTTTTCACAATACATCAACATCTCACATCAGTGACATTCAAAAGTGGGTAAAAATCCAAATAAAGTAAATCAACATTGAAAACTACCATTAGATCTGTTTTAACAGAAACCTGCTTTAAACTCTAACCTGCTATTGACAGTAAATTGTGATCCTTCCGACCTTCATCAATATTTACCCAAGAGTAAATGCAATAGAGTTACCAGTCACCTGTCTAACACTAAAACACTAAAACGGACTCTCCCTTCTTATATTTCAAGTGGTTTTAAAGGTCACAAACAATTTCATCTGTACTGGTAAGTGACTGTCAAATGTAAGTCAGAAATACACTGAGTTAATGACAGGTCAGGTGTAATGTCTGTAAAAATGACATGAATGACCCGTAATTACTGGAAGGCATGTGGTACAACAATGTAGCCACCTGTCTTACTCTTAAGGGGCCAAAATCATGATATCCAATAGGTGACCACAGGTTTGACTGTACATGAATCACTCAGGGTTACACATTAACCCGGAAAACAACCCTAACCCCTTTTGACCTTAAATACTGTCAAGCTGATTTCTATTCACAACCTTTGGTAGTTTCATTCCAGGAAAAAAAACGTCCAAATAACAACATTCTATGATCTTCCGCATTAAGAAGTTGTTTGAATGTTTTATCTACCCAGTGACCGTAAATATAGATAATATCTAATCGCAAACTTTGTTCTTGAGCTTCATCCCAGGAACCCACCAGCAATTCTAGATTCTTGGCCTTTTGGTTAAACAGAAGAAAATGTTTTTAACAAATTTCACCCCAATGACATGATTCACTTTGTTAGGTATCATCACAGAAATCTATTCCCTAAATATCTTTTGGTTAGTATATGATCTCATTTAAAGATTTTAACAAACTACTTACGCCCATCCTCCTGAGCTCTCTGTCTGCTGATTCTGTGGTTTTCTCAGGTCTATGTTGGACACTCGTAGTGCCTTCAATTGAAAAAATTAAACACTATGAATAACAGGAAGATGGAAAAAGGTCCGCTCTTGCACATACTATCATGCTTCCATAGTGCTAAAACTGCACGTGTATTTACTACGAATCTATCATATTGGATAAGAATGATTCAGGTAAAGGTGTTTGATGCCAGGGTCGATTTTTAACATATAATTGTAAGGGTAAGTTTACATGTGTAAGATGCAAGGGTCTGGTGTAAGCATGTGTGTGGTTGTGAGAATTAAGTTTACACATGTGCATGATGAAAGTACCTGGTTAACAAGTATGTATGATGAGAGGATTTCGTATACACATGATTGTCATGAAAAGGTCTAGATTATCTATGTGTATAATGAGAGGCCTGGTTTATCTATGTGTATGATGAGAGGCCTTGTTTATCTATATGTATGATGAGAGATCTGGTTTATCTATGTGTATGATGAGAGGCCTGGTTTATCTATGTGTATGATGAGAGGCCTGGTTTATCTATGTGTATGATGAGAGGCCTGGTTTATCTATGTGTATGATGAGAGGCCTGGTTTATTTATATGTATGATGAGAGATCTGGTTTATCTATGTGTATGATGAGAGGCCTGGTTTATCTATGTGTATGATGAGAGGTCTGGTTTATCTATGTGTATGATGGGAGACCTCATTTATCTATGTGTATGATGAGAGGCCTTGTTTATCTATGTGTATGATGAGAGGTCTGGTTTATCTATGTGTATGATGGGAGACCTCATTTATCTATGTGTATGATGAGAGGCCTTGTTTATCTATATGTATGATGAGAGGCCTGGTTTATCTATGTGTATAATGAGAGATCTGGTTTATCTATGTGTATGATGAGAGATCTGGTTTATCTATGTGTATAATGAGAGGCCTGGTTTATCTATATGTATGATGAGAGGTCTGGTTTATCTATGTGTATGATGAGAGATCTGGTTTATCTATGTGTATAATGAGAGGCCTGGTTTATCTATGTGTATGATGAGAGGCCTGGTTTATCTATGTGTATGATGAGAGGCCTGGTTTATCTATGTGTATGATGAGAGGTCTGGTTTATCTATGTGTATGATGAGAGGCCTGGTTTATCTATATGTATGATGAGAGGTCTGGTTTATCTATGTGTATGATGAGAGGCCTGGTTTATCTATGTGTATGATGAGAGGCCTGGTTTATCTATGTGTATGATGAGAGGTCTGGTTTATCTATGTGTATGATGGGAGACCTCATTAATCTATGTGTATGATGAGAGGCCTTGTTTATCTATATGTATGATGAGAGGCCTGGTTTATCTATGTGTATAATGAGAGATCTGGTTTATCTATGTGTATGATGAGAGATCTGGTTTATCTATGTGTATAATGAGAGGCCTGGTTTATCTATATGTATGATGAGAGGTCTGGTTTATCTATGTGTATGATGAGAGATCTGGTTTATCTATGTGTATAATGAGAGGCCTGGTTTATCTATGTGTATGATGAGAGGCCTGGTTTATCTATGTGTATGATGAGAGGCCTGGTTTATCTATGTGTATGATGAGAGGTCTGGTTTATCTATGTGTATGATGAGAGGCCTGGTTTATCTATATATATGATGAGAGGTCTGGTTTATCTATGTGTATGATGAGAGGCCTGGTTTATCTATGTGTATGATGAGAGGCCTGGTTTATCTATGTGTATGATGAGAGGCCTGGTTTATCTATGTGTATGATGAGAGGTCTGGTTTATCTATGTGTATGATGAGAGGCCTGGTTTATCTATGTGTATGATGAGAGGCCTGGTTTATCTATGTGTATGATGAGAGGCCTGGTTTATCTATGTGTATGATGAGAGGTCTGGTTTATCTATGTGTATGATGAGAGGCCTTGTTTATCTATATGTATGATGAGAGATCTGGTTTATCTATGTGTATGATGAGAGGTCTGGTTTATCTATGTGTATGATGGGGCCTCATTTATCTATGTGTATGATGGGAGACCTCATTTATCTATGTGTATGATGAGAGGTCTGGTTTATCTATGTGTATGATGAGAGGCCTGGTTTATCTATGTGTATGATGAGAGATCTGGTTTATCTATGTGTATGATGAGAGATCTGGTTTATCTATGTGTATGATGAGAGATCTGGTTTATCTATGTGTATGATGAGAGGCCTGGTTTATCTATGTGTATGATGAGAGGTCTGGTTTATCTATGTGTATGATGAGAGGCCTGGTTTATCTATGTGTATGATGAGAGGCCTGGTTTATCTATGTGTATGATGAGAGGCCTGGTTTATCTATGTGTATGATGAGAGGTCTGGTTTATCTATGTGTATGATGAGAGGCCTGGTTTATCTATGTGTATGATGGGAGACCTCATTTATCTATGTGTATGATGAGAGGCCTGGTTTACCTATGTGTATGATGAGAGGTCTGGTTTATCTATGTGTATAATGAGAGGCCTGGTTTATCTATGTGTATGATGAGAGATCTGGTTTATCTATGTGTATGATGAGAGGTCTGGTTTATCTATGTGTATGATGGGAGACCTCATTTATCTATGTGTATGATGAGAGGCCTGGTTTATCTATGTGTATGATGAGAGGCCTGGTTTATCTATGTGTATAATGAGAGGTCTGGTTTATCTATGTGTATGATGAGAGGCCTGGTTTATTCATGTGTATGATGGGAGGTCTGGTTTATCTATGTGTATGATGGGAGGTCTAGTTTACATAGTCAGGAGGTTGACATATGTGTATGATAAAGTAAGGTAAATACGTTAATGATGTGAAGGTCTAGTTTACATGTATAAATATATACTCTACAAATGTGAATGATGTATTATGTCCAGTGTATACAGGTGGCTTTCTGATATTTACAAGTTTATTTTACAAATGCTATGCCGCAATAATATCTTACCAATGCTAATATATCTGCAGCAGACTGGTTTGCTAATGTCATGAACTTGACAACATCTGACGGAGTTGTGGGCTGTTTATCTGTTGAAAACAAAGTATTTAAAAATCATAGTACTGCAAAGCAATCTATTCCCAAATCTCTGGTAAAACTTAAATCAGTGAGTTATTAGTATATATAGTAAGGTATAGAACCATATTAGGACAATTTAAATAGGGTCAAAATCACAGCTATGTATAATCAATTTAGCAAGCATTATGCTATCACAAGAGGTATTCATTTATGAATGGCCAGACAATGTGACACCCAACAATCGAAGATTCAGGAGTCTTGAGTATGAGATATTTTTAAATGTTGGAGACAAGACAACCCACATGACTCACTGATCAACGAATATCATGTCAACCTACAGTCTCCTCAGTAGTACTATAAGGTCACTGAATAAAATAATTATAATTCATAAATGTTTTTCCACATTCCAATTTATATGTTTAAAGTTTAGTTAAATCTGAATAGCCCAAAAGTCACATCTTACTATTCATTTTTATATCTAGTTCTATCATATTTTGGTTGGTAAACAACAATACGAAACCTTAAAAGTTTACTTGACTGAATAATTTGTATTACATAAGTTAAAAGTATACCTGATAGATCAAACACATCATCCTGTGGTGTCTCAGACTCTATTGATGACACGACACTGCCAGTATCTGTATCTATTTCCTCTCTGGTTAACAGTTCTTCACTCCCTCCATGGCTGTATACTCTAATCCCTCCATTCTCATAACCAGCCTTCTGGCTGATTTCCTCCGGGCCAATGTGACCACTTGTTTCACTGTTTTGGTTTCCACTCTCTATTTGAGAATGTTCGCTGTCTATTGAAGAAGCTCTCTTTGATTTCACATCTCCTGATTCCCCAAAACTGTTGGAATGTAACAAGTTGGATGAGTATTGAGCACTGTCAGCAGGTTGTATGAGTGGCTGAGACGGGGAATCTGTATCACCCATCACTATTCCTATGATGTCTGTGTCAGACTGTGAACGTCTTTGCTGATGGGAACGTCCTGTCATTTTGCCCTGAGAGTTAGTTCGTAGTCTCATTATGGATTCTGATTTTTGAAGAACTAAAGATTTTTGTCTATCATTAAGTGATGAAAATCGATCATAAAATTGCTTCTCTCGTTCCTCTTCACTAGAGGAATCTGCAAAGTTATTTGTTTGACTGTTATTGCTGAAGTTTGGCATTCGAATACTGGTGAGTGGGGTACATTTTACTTTGCGTAGACTAAGGTAATCCCGAAGTGATCCCAAAAGGCAAGTGACTTGGTTAGCACTGACAATGGAGAGTGATACATTGTGAACTAAAATGGTGACCAAACAGCTGTCCATATCTACAAAAAAGAACAAGATGGTTTTTCTTTTTAGCAAAATTTCACACAAAATATCATGAAATGCGAGCACTAGCAATAATATCCTCTATTGTTTTAGAAATTACCCTAATACATGTATTGTTATATTATGTAAGAAAAGATAAGCTGATAATGATATTTCAGGAAACAGATAATGTGGCAGTCAATCTTAATCAATCTACACCTAGAATTAAAAAGTGCCTTAGATACAATGATCCATCAGAAATGTTTTACAAATTCAAACTTTTTATAAATCTGGACATCAAACTGACCTTCGACTGGCTGTACAAGGAAGAATATGGAGAGGCATTTATCCTGAGAGGTCTGTAACATCCAGCAGCAACCATTGTCCTCCCTGTTCCAGTGTCTGAAACACCAACAATACACTCAGTAGATTTGCAGTGTAAATTCTTTGTTCAGATTAGAAATTGTCCATTTGACATCCTATACAAACCAGAGTCTGATCAGGTGTAGAACTGTACGATATACTCTGAAGTATATATGGATAAAACCTGTTTATCTGTTACCACCTCCTTCGGTTTTCCCTTAATTATATACTACTGAGTCATCACCTCCTCAGTTGTCTCCCTTATCTTATGTGCAAGTCCATAGACTGAATTGCCTGGCATGTTTTTTTCCCCTAATCTTTACTTCTAAAATAATCACAGGTCAGGGCTGTCAGTCTTATCATTTTGATTGGCTGATATATTATTCTCTATGGAGTATTCCATGGTGACATTTTTATGTTTTTTTTTTTTTTGCATAAAAATTCAAATATCTTCATTCGTTATTACTACCATGAAATCAAAGATGCATTTGTACTGTATACAATTATGAAACATTATTGGTGTGTTCATTTCCACTAACATTGCTTGTATATTGAATGTTCAAATCAAATTTGACTTTTTCAAGCAGACACTTTATGTATCTCTTATTTTTAACATCATCATATGGTTGAAATCTTGAGGCATTTATTTGAAACTGTACTTTTACAAATCAGTGAGTTAAAATATATTCCAATTTGTAACTATAATTTGTCGTTTTTGCTGAAGATTTCATTCACTTAATGACACAAATAAACAGCATGTTGGTCTGTGTTCTACTTATGGATCAATACCTAATGTACAGTTTGAATATACACCAAATACCAGATTGAAAAGTGGCTGTAATAGATTAACTTTAGTTCCATTCACTGCTGAGAGATGACCTTTGAGTAAACTCACCATTTATTGACCAAATTGTAAGAAAGGAGTGTGAAACAGCATGAAAATGGAAATATGCAGAAGACCTTAATAAGGTCTTTGTATAAAAGAGCAACTTGTGAATTTGAAATAAACAGCTTCCAAATGATTTTTAATATATATGCCATGGTAATTTCTCATTAATAACATCTGTCACTTCATCTGACACGTGTTGCCATTGTAAACAAGAATGTTAACAAGAGGGAATTGTAAGACCCAAATCCAACTAATAATTTGCTGAGTGAATTGACCAATCAGCATTGTTTCGGTCAAAATTTTTAGCAAGATAGCGGCCATAACCTGGCTTAGTTTCAATAACAGCATTGTAGTGGAAAAAGGTTGTACTAAGATAAGTAATCCAGTCTACATATCCTCACCTCCTGAGTTTTTCCCTTACCTTTTATATTATCGTGTCACCACCTCCTGAGTTGTCTCCCTTACCTTTTACAATGTTGTGTCATCACCTCCTGAGTTGTCTCCCTTACCTTTTATATAGTTGCATCACAACCTGACTTTCTCCCTTACCTTTTACAATATTGTGTCATTACCTCCTGAAGTGCCTCCTTCACCTTTAACACTATTGTGTCACTCTCTCCTTAGTTTCTCCCTTACCTTTTACACTGTTGTGTCACAATCTGCTGAGTTGTCTCCCTTACCTTGTATACTGTTGTGTAACAAGCTCCTGAGTTGTCTCCCTTACCTTGTATAATGTTGTGCCACAACCTCCTGAGCTGTCTCCCTTACCTTGTATACTGCTGGGGCACAACTTCGTCAGTGTATTCCTCGGATTTTGGATTAATGACCACTTCCTGTATAACATCTTGCCCCATGCCCTTATCCATCTTATAAGGAGACTGGTTGGTAGGACCAGACTTGTTCCCCTTGATGGTCTTTACCAAACTACATGTGACCACACCTGGCTTCCAGTCTTTCAGCTTCCCAATGTCACGGATGGTTTGGTATACAACCTGTGGGCAAATAATTTAAAAAATCTATTAGAGTATTAACCACTAGACTAACCATTTATATAAATATGTACAAGCGTATGTACAGTATAAATAATTGACTGTAGAAAAGTTTGTTCAAACACAATGTATTGTTTTAATCCTTTGTCTATTGTAGTCTGTAAAACATTCCTTTGTCTATTGTAGTCTGGAAGACATTCCTTTGTCTATTGCAGTCTGGAAAACATTCCTTTGTCTATTGCAGTCTGGAAAACATTCCTTTGTCTATTGCAGTGAGAAAGACATTCCTTTGTCTATTGTAGTCAGGAAAACATTCCTTTGTCTGTTGTAGTCTGGAAGACATTCCTTTGTCTGTTGTAGTCTGGAAGACATTCCTTTGTCTATTGTAGTCTGGAAAACATTCCTTTGTCTATTGTAGTCTGGGAAACATTCCTTTGTCTGTTGTAGTCTGGAAGACATTCCTTTGTCTATTGCAGTCTGGAAGACATTCCTTTGTCTATTGCAGTCTGGAAAACATTCCTTTGTCTGTTGTACTCTGGAAGACATTCCTTTGTCTATTGCAGTCTGGAAAACATTCCTTTGTCTATTGTAGTCTGGGAAACATTCCTTTGTCTATTGTAGTCTGGAAGACATTCCTTTGTCTATTGTAGTCTTGGAAACATTCCTTTGTCTTATATATTATTGTGTTCCAGTATTTTATATTTGATTTATAAACATAACACATCATGTACAGTAAAGTATATTAATGATATAAATGTGTATTCTGAGATTCAAATACTCATTCATAACAACTGATCATCAGCAGTGATAAGGTAGGCATCTTGCAAAAGGTTGTGTAAACAAGGATGTCACAGAGAGGTGATAGTGATTCTATGTCATACCTGTGATGAGGCAGGCATCTTGCAATAGAATGTGTAAACAAGGATGTCACAGAGAGGTGATAGTGATTCTATGTCATACCTGTGATGAGGCAGGCATCTTGCAATAGAATGTGTAAACAAGGATGTCACAGAGAGGTGATAGTGATTCTATGTCATACCTGTGATGAGGCAGGCATCTTGCAATAGTGTAAACAAGGATGTCACAGAGAGGTGATAGTGATTCTATGTCATACCTGTGATGAGGCAGGCATCTTGCAATAGTGTAAACAAGGATGTCACAGAGAGGTGATAGTGATTCTATGTCATACCTGTGATGAGGCAGGCATCTTGCAGTAGGTTGTGTATACAAGGATCCTTTCCTCCTTATTTTCTCCAAGAAAACTCTGCGTCCACACCCTGGTATTGTGTGAGAAGCCAAACAACCTCCAGCCATTGTTACTGACCACTGGGAATACCTGAACAAGGAATGGGAGTAGGCTGTTATCTACTGTACCTTACACACTACACAATTAGTGTGTGTAATGTCATTATCATTACTTTATCAACAGCTAACACATAAAATGGTTATTCCATTTAGGAAACAAAACAAATAATGAAAATATCTTTTTATATTGTTTTTAGAACTTCAAATGTCACTGTTTTATTTAATGTTTGAATTTCTTTTCAAATGATTATTATTTCAAGTGTAGAGCAGATTTGCCACTACTCTTTTTAACTTCCAGCAAAAGATGTTCTTTATGCCATTTGAGAGGACTGCAATTTTTAGGGGTCATCATATACCCAAATCTTTGAAGACACTTCATTCAGTAAAATGAAAATGTAACATCACTGTTGGTAATATGTATCAAATTTTGAGCTGATCATGTGACAATTAACTAGGATCAGAAATTAAGAATAATGAGTGATTAAAGATTCCTTTTATGTTTCCTTTCCCTTGAAAAAAAATATGACAATTTCTTTTTATGTAAATATGTAATAGCCTAATAGCAATAGCATATATACTTTCTGATCCTGTGACTGTATGTAGCAGAGACGAAAGGTCGGCCCAGGAATTAAATATGTGTAATGGCAAAAACCAAATCCTATGACTCCGGACTGTTACAATCAAAGTTCAACTAACAGCATATCAAGCATGAAGTTAACTATTTCAGTTACCTTTGATCTTGCAATGACTTTCAGGAATGTCTTTGGTTCCAATTTCTTTACCTCCTGTAAAAGAATAAAACTTGATTATTTGATTTCAAGAAAAGAAGACTAGAGCAACTGCAGCATTCACTTTGCCTCCCAATATGTAAGTAACATGTGTACTAATCAACTAATGTTTCAGGTTCAAATCACTTTGGTTGCCACAGCTGATTTCTTAATTTCTTTATGTGGAAATTTTTCCAGTATATTTTTTTATTAGATGCATATCCCTGTTGCACTTTTTTCAGGTCAAATACAGTATGTTACCCTTAGCTTTGTGGTGTTATCTTGGAAGTAACTCAAGGTCATTTATATAACTATATGGGGAAAACTTTGTGGCACTCCATCCAAGGTATACCAACTGTTCCCTATAGCTAGCTATACTGGCTTAATATAAGGTTATTGTTGGTATTCATCAACTGCAGCCAATATTGATTCTCAAGTTTGCTTTCTACCAAAGGAAAAAAATATGTTTAAAATACAAATTTGTATGTCTATAAATTATATGTATTTATACAAGTATACATTGAATGGAGAAGTGTATAGAGAGGATCTGCCAGTATTCAAGTTGATATAATGCTGTATCTTTTAATGCCAATTTTTAATGTATTGATAATTGTGTAATGCATCCAATACAGATATACATACCTAAATAATGAAAAAATGTGCAGCAGCTTGAAACCAACTGTTACTAATGCATAATTTACATATGAAGTGATATTTCACATACACATTATCTGTTATAGCTACAGGTAATTTGTTAAATATAAAAAAGAATAGGAAAAAATGGGAAATGAGGGAAGGGATAAAAATATTACAATGATAAATTATAACACACAAACCACAAGTTTCTGCTACATTTCTAGATTAAATGTTGATTCAAATAGCTATTGACTGTATATGTATACATTCAAATGTTCACACACTGCATGTGATGTCTGTATTGCTGTACATCTTAATCAATACCTTGTCTATCACTGCAGCCTTCTGCACCTGCACCAGACATGCTATAGACTTACAAACTTGTATGTGTATTGCAGACAGTCTGATATCCATAGCTACAGTAAATACATGTGATACTGACAGACAGATGTGTAATTACAAATATAAACTTATAATGCATTTCAGTCTTGCACAAATACAAAACTTTCAATTAAATAAATTCAATTGTAATACATGTACATATAGTAAGTTCCATGCATCAACTCGTATGCCATAACAAAGGGGCTGAAATATATGCAGCATGGGAATATGTATACATGTACTTTTTATCCACAATAAAATGTTTTATTTTTATAGTGAGTATGTTTTTCTTCAAAATCTGTAACAGTAGAAATACTTAGATTTTCTCAAGAAATGATCTGATGCAGTCCTATAATCATATATATAGTTCTGGTACTCTGAGATAGCAGACAGATGCCCTACAAACATGATAAAGTTCAGGCTGTCAGTAACTGAAAAAATCCACCCCATCACATGTAGAAAAAAATTGACATATTGCTGGCTGGCTGGGTTTGATTCTGCCATATATCATTAAAACTTTCATTCTCTGAACATGATAATGGATATCATATAATGAATTAATTTATTAATCATATTAAGTAGTAATTAATTAGTATTATGTATTTATTTTTTTCTCTTCAAATACTGCACATGCATATGCCTACTTAATATTCATTATGTATAAATAATTTGCCAACTTATGTAAATAAAATCGAATGATAAAAAGAAAAACAAGCCCTCAGCAGAATACATAGCTATAGCACTTAAGTATGTTTAATTACATCTGAAACGTAGTATCGTGGTATGTAAAAACAAACTCTGGCAGACATACCAGCTCAACCTCTATTTGTAAAGTGACACTTTTCATATCAAGTACATATAGGATAGTGACCGACATATGCTGACACATTATATTAAAAACATCAACAAGTCAACAACAACAGTAACACCACAGCCCACATAGTCTTTTATAATGACCACACCCCCCTTTAAGGTTCAAAAAGCAGAACTGTTTAAAAAACAATTCTAATAACACATGAAAATCAAAGTACGATGTAATGTTTACGTAAAAAAATCGGTCAGTAGTGCAAAAGCAGACGATTCTGTTAAAAAATGTACTGTACCTTTTGAGATTCTGGGTTAGCCATGAAGGAAGAATACATCACTATCGCCAAAATGACACATCCAGCTAAAAGGGGTCCAAAAATTGAGAGGAGAATTATCATCGTCATCTTTAGTGATCATTTCTGTACCAAAATTTCAGAAAGTGAGTGTAGATGAGCGATATAAGTCACTTATCACTGATGTTTTCCGGTCTGAATCATGTCTGCATCATTCGCAATTGCAAAGTTCACCGGAAGTGGAGAGTTGTCTCCCCTAATTGAAAATGGCAGCCGCCATGTAAAGTAGTGTGACAAAAATGATCTACGGCGGGAGATGAAGAGAATGATCGTGGACGAATAATTAAGTACATGTCAGTTTGCGTATTTAATATGTATCATACTTAATACACTCCTAGTTATTTTAAAATGGTTTTCACGTGGCTGATGTTAAAATCTTGGTTGAAAAGTCCTGTTTGCCGGTCTTAATTCAAAAGTTTTTGTTTAGCTGGGCTTGATATTTACAACTGGATATGCTTACACCTAGTGTTTTGTTGGGCTATTATTGTGAAAATGAAGTGCTTTTAAAAGCAGCATTTACTTAAGCAATATTATCTTATACAGCGAATGTATAAGCTGGTAAGTCATTTGTGAAAATTACGAAACATACAGTCATATTGTATGTAGCGAATCCCATTGTTTTTTTCGCGACGGTAGAGGAGGCAATACTTTTATTGTCAGTGCTTTGGAGGAATAACTTCATTTCCTTGATCACTGACAAGCAAATAATTTTATCTTTAAGGTGATTCCAGCCTATCACAGTTCTTATGATGAAAGAAATATTGTAAAGTGCTGGCAGTCAGAACTTGGGATACTTTGCTTTTATTGGGTTATTGCTGACCCAGGAGAAAGTACATGTATATGGAGTCTAAAAGTTCAGATGAAATGTATGAGGAGTCTTAACTGTCTTGTGCCTGGCAGAAAACCAGAGTTCCAAGGGAAAATTTACTGAAATAGTATTAATTTGTAACACTGAATATATTAACTAGTTCAAATACTAATATGTTTATGTTGATTGAAAACATCATTGTTAATTTATTCTTTACCCTAATATTCGATGCAAATATGCTGATTGAGGCTGGTTTATGAAGAAATAGGATTATTGGACTGATTGATCTGTATATAAGGTGACCTCATTATCATTCTAGTCAATCGTTTGCTCTTAATTCCAGGTAAAATATAGATAGAGTGATCTATGAAGTAACAACATTAACAGCACAACCAGCCAAGATGACATCCATTGTAAAACTTCAAGCCTTTTCTGGTGCTCACAATGAATCACCACCATGTTATATGTTACAAGTGGATGAGTTCCGATTTCTCCTTGACTGTGGATGGGATGAGGATTTTAATCTGGACTTTATAAAAGAGCTTAAAAGGTATGATAGATAAATATAACATTTTGATACAGGAAAAAATGTAAATGTGTGATCATTTATCAGTAGTTTTGATAACCCACAATATCAATCGTTTAGAAATCAACAGTATAACCATAATTATAGAATATTTTACTCAACATGTCAACATTTGATGTTTCTTATTTCTCTTCAGACACACCCATCAAATTGATGCTGTACTGCTAAGCTATCCTGATCACATCCACTTAGGAGCTCTGCCATATATGGTTGGAAAGGCTGGAATGAATTGTCCTATATATGCTACTATTCCTGTGTATAAGATGGGGCAGATGTTTATGTATGATCTATACCAGGTATGGTAATTGAAATATATCTTAATTGATGGAAGTTATTTCCTATTATTGTTTTCATTACAGTAGTATGCTATTTTATATCACTTATTGAATTAGATGATTTAGACAATCAAAGTACTTATGGTTATTTACTTTTGCAGTCAAATTTATGATAATTTGACCCTGGAGGAGAACACTGGTATCCTGTGTATTCCAATTTAATTTTTTTAAAAATTGACTAGATATTGAACCTGTAGTCACTCCTTCTTTCTTATCTGTCCAATGTATCATCTCATTCCTAGAAAGATCCCCATAGTAATGAATTAAAATGTTTTTCTCCTCCTTATCTTACAAAATTTTCTAGTGGACTAAATAAGACAACCAGATATGGTGAGGTTGTGAGCGGACATATTTTTACTGTTGGTTTTTTTTTTATCTCTTCATGACTCCATATGAATGAATAACTTATTTATAATTTGTATCATTACATTTTTTCGGGTATGCTTTTTGCATAGAATAATGTCAGTCTGATTGTTATTTCAAATGCTTTCTCTTTTAGTCAAGACACAACACAGAAGATTTTGAAATATTCAGTCTGGATGATGTTGATTGTGCTTTTGATAAAATCCACCAGCTTAAGTATTCACAAACTGTACATATGAAAGGTGAGCTATATTTATACAAAAAGTACTGTTATTAATATTTTTTTTTATCTTTCTATATCCCTTCATCCCTTCCATCTGTCCCTTAAAAATTCTTGTGATTGATATTTATGGAGAAGCACTGAATATACAATTATCAAATTTCATATGTAGGCTCCTCTTGGTGCCTAGTTCTGCATAGGTCATCTTGGGATTGACGAAAAAAGATATGACGACCTTCTTAATTTTTTGATAGCCATACTTTTTTTATCACTACTTTCAAAGGAGTGCTGTTTGAAAGAAAAAATGGTTGGATCCTTCTAAAATTTCATCTATATGTTCCCTTTAGTTCATAGTTATGCACTTTTGATTTTGGATTAATTAGAAAAAAATGGTTGACAGTAAGCTGTCTTGGATTTTGACTTTGAAAGTTTGAAATTACTAAAACAGAGCAAAGAATCCTCTGCTGAAGGTCACACCCAGGTGTCAATGGTTGAATTTATAGTTGTATGGAGTGTAATTTTGTCATAAAAATAGAAATACAGTCTAACTTGGTAGTCACATATCCCATTCCAGGTAATCATTATTTTGTGAAGCTGTATATGTTTTACATAGTATCAAATACAACATGATCTACATACGTTATATCTGATAGCATTAACTACTTCTTTTTATATCAATATAGGTAAAGGCCATGGTCTACAGATTACCCCCCTGCCTGCTGGACACATGATCGGTGGCACTATATGGAAAATTGTTAAAGATGGAGAGGAGGAGATTATTTATGCTGCTGACTACAATCACAAAAAAGAGAGGTAAACTTAATCTGATTTCCAGTCTGTAGATCATATTTATTGACCAATAAACCATATCTGATAACAAGCCCACGATATCTGCTGCTGCTTAAAATGATTAACAACAAATACTATTTTACTGTCTCGTAATAAGCCCACCCCTAACTTTGAGGTAATCTGTTGGTCCTTTGATAAATACAGTGTTCATGGTGTTGTAAAGGAAAACTGTGAAATTCTGGTGTTGACGTAATCTAAATATAGATATGAAATTTATTTATTTTACAACAAATGTGAAAAATGTTGCAAGCTTATATTAATCTCTCTTGTTGGCCTGGATAGAAGGGCATGAGGGGTCCTACTGTAGGAGGAAATCAGAGTAAGCAGGGAAAATTCATATGGTCAGGCAGATGTCCTCCAGTGCCTTTTCATGTTCGCTTGGGGAATAACAATTTAACTGTCAGTGAGGAATATGATTAGATTTTGATTGTTATATGTTGTATTTCCAGGCATTTAAATGGATGTGTTCTGGAATCTATATCTAGACCATCCTTGATGATTACAGACGCATTCAATGCTACATATATTCAATCTCGTAGACGTACCAGAGATGAACAGCTCATGAGTAAGTTTTTCTCCTCGATTCAAGCATGAAACATATGGATTCTTTTTTATCATAATAGAATTGATTTGATATCGTCCCATTATGAAAGAAAAACTATAAAGAGATAGAAAACTGATACTGAACATGATATAGTTAGAAATTATTTATTTTGTTTCTCAGAATATTTTATATATTTCTCTGAATGTGCCTTGATATGAAAGGGTTGCATAATAATGTATTTTGTCTGCAGTATCCGGTCTCTTTTAGCACAAAGATGGCCGCGAAAACTGGCTCTGTCCCCTTCGGCTTAGTTATTTTGAATGCAAAATGAGGTCAAGAGATATAAGTGTTACTTTGGCCTTAGAGATACTCTATTTACCTAATAAGACACTACTACACAGGTCACGTCTATGTTCAATTACAAACCTTCAAACTAGTTTTAAAGTGAAAATTACCTTTGTATACAATGTATTGTTTACATAGTGATGTATGACAGCAGAAAATAAAATATTTTTTTCTACTTTTTAAATTTGTCAACCTTGTCAGAGATGATTCATAGCCTTCTAACTTCTTATTTAAACTAGATTTTTTCTAGTTGTGAAATTTGGTGATAGTCAAAAACTGCATTGATTGATTGTAACATAACATATATTATTGTGTTGTGGCATTCTGCACACAGATATACACTTATCAACAACATCTTGGAATCAAACTGATGACCAATATATATAATCGAAAATCTACAGGAAAACAACGAACTTTGTTCATATTTCAGCATATTTTCTCGGTAACAATGAATGTGATACATATTTCAAGGCCAAAGCAAAGTGAATCTTTGTTTGCATAATAATTAACATCGTTTGGTTTTATTTAAGTAAAACAGTTTTATTTGTTCAAGATTTTGTATGTCAATACATTGTGTTAAATTTAGTTAAAATAGAATATTTCAGTTTTAATCAAGGGTACTGTAAAAAAAAACCGGTATAATATGAGAAGTATCTGCCTTTTACACTAGAGTTTACATGTTAGACACGGTCAGTGAAAGTAACTCCTTGATGTACTATTACCATGTGGCCAGTCATCTCATTAAATTTCTCACTGATGCATAAGAAGTTCTTTTGACTGTCTAAAAACAGGTACCAGAACATATTTGAGCAGTGCCATCTGGGTGGTAGTGCTATTTGGAATTTAACAAAAGCAAAAAGCCAAAACAATGCTTATGAAATAAGATATACAGGTAAAATCAATACAAAATTCTCTGATGGTTTCTATTTGTTGTTGGTGATGTCTTGTTTTTCTTTTCAGCAACTATTTTACAAACAATGAGGAATGATGGAAATGTCTTGGTTGCTGTAGATACAGCTGGCAGAATGCTTGAACTCGCACAGTTACTGGTATACTTCAGTTTTCTTTTGATTTTGTTATTTTTCATGATTATTTCATAAATTTCTTTAGAAATGAAATCTAAATGATTGAAATACAAAATTGAAATTCAGAAAGATATTTTGGTCTCTATACAGTGTAAAATTCAGCAGATCTTCCATCTGGTTTTTGTACATATTTAATCGGATATTTGGCATTGTTTCAGGACCAGATGTGGAGGACTTCAGAGTCTGGTCTGTCACCGTACTCCTTGGCACTTCTTAACAATGTCAGCTTCAATGTTGTGGAGTTTGCCAAGTCACAGGTGTGTAGCTAATGCTTGTCCAGTGTACATGGTTCATGTTTCTAACTTTATTCCCAATAAGACCTGTTTCAGTCTTTGATTGTTAGCAGCTTGGAAGTGAAATTTCAAGTGATTTTTGATATTTCAACACAAATACTAAGTACAAATTTCCTTTATTTTTCCACTGACGATGGCCACATAGTGGTTGAAACATGTCAACAAAGTAAATTATGACAAACCTCCTAAGTATTGGAATTCCTTCTATCTTTATGTATATTTCTCAAAGGCTCTTTAAAATAGATTGCCTTTATTTTGCTTGTTTTGCTAGGTTGAATGGATGAGTGACAAGATCATGAGAGCGTTTGAAGAGAACAGGAACAACCCATTCCATTTTAAGCATGTAAAGCTTTGTCATAACCTGGCTGAACTGTCAAGGATTCCAGAACCAAAGGTAGGTGACAATGATATACAGCAAAAGTGTGTCAAACTCCTCGGGAATATTTAAATACCTCAAGAAATACAGGGTTTTCTAGTCATCAGAGTTTGGTCATAGACTGTCAGGTGTTGACCATCAGTGTCCATGAATGACTTACTTAATATCTCTTTGACTAGTCCGATTTATTATTTTGCATTAGTTTTGAATGACTTACAAATTCATTGCCTAGAATTTGAAAAAAAAAGGTGAGAAATTGGTTATTCACAGCACTATTTGTTTACGTCAACAAGTATTAAGCTGTCACAAAGAATGATAGTATATAATGCTTGATTAATGTTTTATTAGTGCATGTAAGTAAAAAGAAGACTTGTTGAGATTTGTAACATTTAATATAGATATAAACTGTGGAACAATCAATACATACAATCATCAAATTAGAAGGAAAACAGAACACGACAAAACTATGTTAAGGCCTACCAATATATAACTGCCATATATCCATCTCTGGTACGTAAACTTGGGAATATCTGTAAAGATGGGACCAGTTACAAGATAAATATACTTAAACATACATAAACATATATTAAATTAATGTGTTTTTAATCTCCTCCAATTAAAAAAATTAATCAACTATAAATTCTAATTTACTTGTACTCTCCTGCTTAGTAGGAACCGTTCAAAACTTGGTTAACACAAATTTCTGTTAGAACAAACATCAGGTTATATAACTGAAAATCAAATTCATTGGAAATGTCTTGACAAATCAGACATATCATGTAGCAGTATGCTGTACTGGTATGTTATATCAATGTTAAATGTTATCAACTTTCCTGCTAGACACCTGTAAAAGCACATCGGAGTCATTAGGGGGAGCCAATACATTGTGTGTGACACAGATATGTGTGACACCTTTTTGATAAATATACAGGGGAATACTAGGTATATGAAACAACTGGGTGAAAAAGAGTTTGGAATAGGTGGTGTTTGAGAAATAATGGTTTGAGGAATCCGAGGTTCAATAACAAGGAATATCAATCAGATTAGGGATTACTCTAGGAATACAGGTTCAAGTAAGTCCGGTTTTACTGCACAACTGTTAGGAATATTTCTGTCATTTCAATCTGAGTGTAACTTTATAAGGTAACAGTAACTTTAGAAGATTACAGTAACTTTAGAATATCACAGTAACTTTAGAAGGTAACAGTGACTTTAGAAGATTACAGTAACTTTAGAATATCACAGTAACTTTAGAAGGTAACAGTAACTTTAGAAGATTACAGTAACTTTAGAATATCACAGTAACTTTAGAAGGTAACAGTGACTTTAGAAGATTACAGTAACTTTTAGTTTGAACCACAACAGTTTGTTGTTTTGCAATGGTATAGTTATTTGATAAGCCATAATATGATCCCTCCCTCCTCTACCCTAAAGCGTAATAGGAACACGAGAAGCTACATTTGTAGTGTGACGAGAAGCTGTATTGATCTTTTGACCTTGATATCATATGGTTTTATGATGTAATACTCTTGTACTTACCGTCACAATGCTGGAATTCAGGTTAAGGACAGGATCAGGTTTTTCATTAAATGAGGTGGGGTGGGGAGGGGGGGGGGGTCTTTTCTTCATTACATTGGGGGGGGGGGGCTTTTTTTAATTAAATGGGGGGGGGGGGGTTTTTTTTCATTACATGGGGGGGGGGGGGGTCTTTTCTTCATTACATGGGGGGGGGGGGGCTTTTTTTCATTTAAATTGATCTTTTTTGTTATCTTTTTGTTTGTTATATTGTGTTATTGTCTTAATGAAACAAGAATTTTGTAATCTTCAATAGTAAAGACATAATTTATTAGATACTACAGGATACTGGTACCAGTAACAAGCTCTATACTGTGTTATAGAAAGTAGAAGCAGGCACTATGGAATATAGATATTTAGCTCTTGACCTTTTACCGTGTTGTTTTTATGGGTCAATATTTCATTTTACTTTTCATTAGCTGGTTCAAATCTACACTTGCTTAACAACTAGGTCTACTATCTATTTTTGTCGCTGTAAGTTCATACACTGCCTAAATACTGGGTTATGAGAACAGATGAAATATTCTTACTTGTGTTCAATAAGGTGTATTTAACCGATGTTGGTAGCTCTAGTATTGTCTGTTGGTGGGTCAACGACTTAGGTAGTAATTGAATATGGACTGTACCATGTGAATTTTAACTAAAGACATTTTGTTGACATTTTCTTTTTAAATGAAATTATTTGATGTAAATATAAATCTGAAAGCTTATGATAAAATGCTTATAAAATTGATGTTGATATTTAGTAAAACATTGACATGAAGGTGACAAATAGACAAGGGTAATCCTCTTTGTAGTGAAAGCCTTTTTATGATCCTATCAGAAAGCTAGCTTATCAGCTATGCTAATGTCAAGGCTACTATGTTCTTTCATGTAGCTGACAGGGTTTGATGAGTAGTAAATATTACACCGAGAGTTGTCCTTCTTCGTCAGTCTGTGAAGGTTGTAATAGTGAAAAAAGAACACTTGTACATGAGAAATTTTGTTGTTACTTTCTACAGCTGTTCTGTAGCAGTACTACTCATTTGAAATATCTAGCTTGTAAATAGTCCTAGATTGTTAACATATAGAGAAGAAAATTAGAAACTGGATGTGTCGTTTAATAGTGTGCCTTGATAATTCCTGATGATATAGGATGTAGTTTGGACAGTGAGTCAGCTTATGAGAGAGACTGATTCCTTGTTACTTATCAACACAATAATAGCAACAGTTTATGTTATAATAGGCTCATTAAGTGTCAGTTCATCAATAGGTAAAGTTAGGTTGTAGATTACTAACATTGATATTGTTAATTGTTTGGGATGGGTGTTAGCAATTAACATTTGAGAATTTATAAACAGTACTGGCATAATACAAAGTATTGATAGTTGTATTTTGTGTATCATTTAGTATTGCATGCGTATATTTATGTTGATGTGTAAAGTCTCACAGCTCATAAATATGTGTAGTTTCGTTAAGTTACATACTTCAATAATAATGATATAAAAAAGAAAGTACAAAGGTGTTTTGTTCTTGTCTTGTATACGTATTACATTAAATGAAACATAACAGAATTTTCTAAAAGTTACATACTTCATAAAACAAAGCATTGTAATCAAAATTTATATTTTACCATTGTATTTAACATGATATTAATTTTCATGCATTAAATTAAAATGTTGAACTGGCAAATGCTTATCTAAAATTACGACTATTTTTTCTAATCCATAGCCTTTACATTTCTTGAAAAAATGTTCAGTTAAAATTAATTTCTTTTTATTAAATCACAAATAAATGTTTTCTGTATCACATCTCTTACATTCACAGTTTACAATTGTGGTTATTGTGTAGATAAGGTACATGTTTTTGATCACAGCTGAACCTGTCTTGTCCTTAAAACTGTATATTATGACCTGAAGTAATGATGATGAAAGTTGTAGAAAATAGAGAAGACGTCATTGCTAATGATGTTGAGGTTTATTGCTTTAACGATGAAATCTAGCTATTGGTAAATAAGAGACCATATTTTGTTGAGACTTGCACCTGTGACCTGGGCTTGGAATGACCAATAACTGCCTTACAGACAGCTAGTGGCTAAAAGATGGACATACGTCTCTCAACAATAGCCTTAACTGTCTGTGCCTTCAGCAATTTCTGATTTGTTTTGACAGATAAATGCAACAATTTATTCAGAGCTGTAGTCTGTCTGTGAAGTTAATGATTTGACAAGTTTTTCGGTCATTGATCAACTGTCGACGGACCAGAGTTTCCCATCAAAGCATTAGACTATTTCTCAATACTGTTGCTCTATTTGGTCCATGTGGTCATTTTTAATTTGGCGATAAGCCCATGTCTCTTAATAAGCTCATCCATTTTTTGGTGATCAGTAACATTACAGCAAAATACCAAAGAAATATCCTAACATTGAGTCAATGTGTTGGCCACCTGGCCTTATTGTAGAACAGAAGCATTGTTAGCGACATCAACATATTCTTAGATATGTTTGCTTTAGCTAGAAGCTTTAAGTATTTATATAAGGAATGCTAGATTGATATATAATGTTGTACTCTTTTAGGTCACCTATGACAAAATCTGGAGTTGTGTGTTGTACGTCATGATGCGTCATAAACTTCTAACATTTTCAACTTCTGCAAAAACTCCTGAACCGATTTCAGTGAAATTTTACAGAAACCTTCTATGGCTAAAGGCGCACCAAAATTGTAAATTATGTGGTCCCCAACCACCAAGGGCCTAAGGGACAGGGCCAACAAGGGTAAAATTGATTGAAATTTCAATACTCTCCTTTTCAAATCCCAGGTATGGTAGAATCAAGTACTGTTCATAGATGGAAAAGCCTTCAGATATTTTACCAACATTGTAAATTTCATGAAGCCAGGTTATCGCATTTCCCCAAGGAGAGGAGGGTAAAGTTTACTATATTTTGTATAGGAAAATTACATTTCATAACATTAATTGTTTATTTTCTATGGGAAATACATTTGAAGTTCAAACCTGGTTAGGATTATTAGTTTAAGATGACAGTTTAATGAGATGCACATATTGACCTCAGCTGACTCTCGGGTGGTTGGGCAGGACCAAAAACTGGTCAAATTGACAGAAATTCCAAAAATCTTTTTCTCAAATCCCAGGTTTGGTAGAATAAAGTACTCTTTATGGATGGAACAGTCTTCAGATGTTTTACCAATATTGTAAATTTCCCCAAGGGAGGGGGTAAAATAAACTATATTTCATATACAGTTTTGAGCATAGTTTATTTTCTTACGGTAATAGATCAAACCTGGTCAGAATTTCTATTTTAATAGTATAAGCTGACTGTTTGATGAGATGCACATGTTGACCTTGACTGACCCCCAGGGGCTGATGGGCAGGGCCAATAGTCGGTCAAATTGACTGAAATTTCAAAGATGTTCTACTGTTCCTGGATGGGAGATTTTATATAGGAA